CCCCTATTATCCTGCATTACAATTACTGCTACCGTCATTCAGGATAACCCAATTTCTCCCATGAACCATAATCAATCCCCAGTGGTTGGAGGCTGAGCAGCGGTAGTTGTAAAGACCCCCTCCCTGCTTATTTGATCAGTGCGGTTCAGTTCATTAGGCGCATTAACGGTGAATATGCTGGACTCTGGGAAGGATCGATGGGCGGATGAATGCAGAACTAGATAGATGGATGGATCTGCTCTAAAACGAATGCAGGCAGTCCCACACGTCATCAGACATCATATAACTAAACCACGCTTACTTACAAATGAGACTTCACAAACGCATTCCGAACGCGACTTCCCAGCCCTCACTCAAACCCATAGATGAATGCATCGTTCCCGAAAAAGTGTGCATTTTGCGCAGCCGAGCCGGGCTTCTAGTAATTGCCAAAAAGAATCATTTCCGCACGCTTTTTGCAGCTCTCTAGAATGATTGCTGCATTGCCCTAATGGATCCTCCCTTCATTACAAATTATCTAAAGCGCTGAAATTCGGAACAACCATTGATTTGAGTTGCAAATCAGTAAAGACTCACATTGCACTCGGACCTCGATGCTGTCATGGGCATCAGCTCCAATATTGTTTGTTGCTGTACATTCATAAACTCCAGTGTCATCGACCGCAACTCGAGTTATCCTGAGTTGTCCATCTTCTGATAGTGCTCGTGCTGGTAGTTGTTGACCATCCTGTAAAAGAAAGTCGCTGTAAAAATGATAAAACCCGTCAAACATGTCATGGCACACTCCTGAGGCCGCTTTTTTCTATAATTCTTCCATATAAAATGGCTTACCACTTCGTCACAAAAAATTTTTTAATAAATTTAGTCAGCAGCTATTATCAGATTTAGTTGAATTTCACTCTGGCTCGATCGACGACAAAAAGGATTAAAAAAAACGAAAGCAAAGTAACCTGTCGAGCCCAAGTAACTTTTGGAGGCGGATTTCCCGAGGCCGAGCATTTGATGACCACATTTTCGCCAACATTCACCAGCAATGGATTTGTATCCGGTGATATTGAAACTGTTGGATGCACTAGAATTTTTTTTTTTTTTTTCAACACAAAAATTATTCTGCATTAACAGTCTTTTTTCAGTACTTTGA